TGCCTCTTCCTGCAAGTACTTGAGTATGCAGTCAGTAACATTTGCTTTTTGTGAACACTGGTGCTAGTAACACTTGACTGCACAAACTCTACCAGGAAGCTAAAGCAGACATAAGACCAAAGTTGGTTCCTCTGAAAAGTGCCTTAAAATATTAATATGTAGATTTGGTAGCAGAAGGGCAGATTAGTCCTGACAGATCATAAGTGCCATGAGCACTGCAAGGACCAAGTGTGCTGAGTCCTGCATTGCCTCTGGGACCTCACTGGCACCATTTCTTTTCTACTGTGGTTCCCATGCACCACCATCAGTGCACAGCCCCTTTGGGTCCCGTCAGGGCTTGCATATCTGCATCCTCACAAGGCTGTTTATCTTTGGGAAAGCTCAGACTGTTAAGGGATCATCTTGTTTTCCTTTGGGGGAAGGGCTTGGTGTGTACAAACAAAACAAACCCCAAAATACTAATACAGCACAACCAAAACACCATGAGCCTCCAGTACAAACTAACAGCTGATACCCTGGAGATTTTGGATTGCCTCACCATGCTTTTAATAGAAAACTATCTTTGAAGCAGAGATTTGTTCTGGTACCTGGTGAATTCTGCAGCCTGGTGCACGACTCAAAGGTTGCACTCCCTAGGATGCACGATGGGCACCAGGTCTCAAGGCAGAGAAGGTCTCTAGTGCAGACATCCCACTGCCACCTGTGCTGCCACTCTGCCCCAGTGCCCCCAGTTCCCTCCTTTAGGAAAGAGAGTCTGTTCCACTGAGAGATCATCCATCCTAACAGGGCCTTTCCTGTCCCAGTAAAATGAGTGATGTTACTCTCTGTACCTCTTGCTGAACAGGAGATGCTCTCCTTGACCCCCACCATTGCCTCTGATCTGTAGCAATCACGTTTACACAAATCAGTCCAAAGCTTTTCAAAGGCTGTTTTAAAAAGTGATTTAAAAGTGCCCCTTACCTTTACTTCCTCCCCGTTTTGGTTGTCCTCCCCCTGCAGTTTCTCTCTCAGTTTCCCCAGCTCTGCTCTCAGGTTGCCCATCTCCTGCTCCTTGGTTTGCAGATATGCTTCTAACTCCACCTTCTGCTCGATCAGCGCCTTCCCCTGAGCCTCCACCACAGTGATCCGGTGGCGCAGGTCGTGGTTAATCTTCATTAACCTGTTCTGCTGCTGCTGGAGCTGCAAAACATTGATGTCATAGGTCAGCACCCACTCAGCCCTCAGCTGTGATGGCTCAGCCCCACACACCACGGTAAAGAAAAAGTAGTGGGTTCCTGTTTAATTTAATCTCCCCACTCCTTCTCTCCCCCACATATTTGTCTTTTTTTTTTTTTAAATATCTAATTATCTCCTACAGTTGCAGTCACCAAAACTTAATTGGTTTCCATAGTAAAGAGGCATTTTTTTCCCTTAGCACAGGGAATTCTCCAGCTAAAAACAAATCCATCACTTCTGGTACAATGTTTCAGAAAAGCAAAGTTCAAGGACAGGGTGGCTTATGGGATTCTGAATAAAATCTTAACCCAGAGAGAAAGATGAGACAGAGGAATCCTTAGTATTCAATTTTTAAGTGCTTTGCTTTGAGCTCCTAGGCTCTCTTAAAAGGCAGGATGTGACCTGCTGGGCATTATTTGGACAAAACCAACTGGAAAGGCCACAGCACCTGCCGGTGGCCTGTAGGTAGAGCAGAGATCATCTAGGTCTGGCCTCACTAGCACCAGGAAAGTCCCACGGCCTCAGGGGAAGAGGCAGCTGGAGGATGGGAAACAAAATATGGGTAAGGAGGTCATTGCTCCTGACACAGAAAGAACCAAGACATCATGTGATTCCCAAAGTCACAGCAGAGTCTGATTCACAGAGGTGACTAAAGCCATGTCTGTGTGCTGTGGTCCCCAGGGCCACCCATCCTCTCCATGACCCTCTGCTCACTAAAGTAAGTGAGCTGGGCTGGGCTCAGGCCCCTTCCTCCTGCCCCCTTCTGTGCAAAGAGGTAAGCACAGTACATCCCTGGTGTGGGAAACCAGGCTATGGAAGTACGGGTGAGAAAGAAGAGAAACAGGAAGCCTAAGAGGCACTTACAGCCTCTACATCCTCATTTTTAAGTCCAAGTTCCCGGTCCTTCGCTCTGATTTCATCCCTCTGTTTATCTACCACTTCCTTCAACTTCTTCATGACTTGCCGCTCTCTCTCTGACATGCCTGGATAAAAAAAAAGAGCACAGAAAACAAACTGAGGACAATCGGGACCTGCTGAGACTGAGAACAATATCAGTGAGCAATATTGAGGTAAAGATTCTGGAAGCTGCCTGCTGGTAGAATTACTGAGAAGCTGTTGGAAGATGCTTTGAAGGTTACTTCCAAGGTAACAGGGAATACAGATGACACAACCCCCTCCATAAAGCCACTGCACAGGAACTCCTTCAAAAATTAACTGAGAGACCTCAGAAACATGTATAACAGCAGAATGACACTGCTACAACTTGCTGCCTAGGTAGTTTCACACACTCCAGGGAGCTTGGGTATCTGTGTGAGAATCTGTAGAATCAGCTGGCCAAGATCCTGTGGAAGCTGTAAAAAAGATGGTCTGTGTCCTCAGCAAGATCTGAACAGCACCTCACTGGTGTGGACTGGATCTAGAGCCAAACCAGCTGAGGTGCCCTGGACTAGAATGATTTTGTGTTGAAACCCAGCTCTGTGTTGGGTGAAAGGGAGATGAAGCAGGATCTTCAGAAGCCCAGGACATGCAGTTTGATGGTCCTACACTGTCACATCAAATCCCATTGCACAACATCCTACAGGATGGCTTGAAGATGAGTGGCTGTGACCAGGGCAGTGTGTGGCTGCCCTGGCTAAAGTCCAGTCCAAGCAGGAGCTCCAAGCCAGGGCTTGCTGCTGTCTTGTTCTATTACCTTTGGCAAAGGAGTTACTTGAGTCCTCAGCTTCCTCCATTCACAAACTGAGTGGTGATAAGTCACTCAGCCCTCAGGAGTGGCTGGAAAGCCACTTCCTTTTTAATATATTAAAGCAGTTCCCACATCAGAAATATGCTGCATACATAGCAAATGTGCCCAACCAGCCAAGTCTCTGTTTTCTATTATCAGCTCAAGACTTTCTGGTTATGTGCTTCCCTCATCAGAGCATTCCAAAGTTGCTCCCAAAAGAGCATGTAGGCTGCATGCCTTGAGGAACTCCAGCTCACAGGTCACCTACAGTTTGAGCTAATGGATAATACAGTAGAGCAAGACAAACCTGAGAGAAACCTCAGGGAGATCTCAGAGAGAGAGAAACCAGTCACTCTTGGGTGGATGTGCACTCCTGCAGCACCTGTGGGTTCCCATGCAGGCATCAAAAGCACAGCACTGCAAAGAAGGGAAGAGCATCTCCCATCCCTCATTGCTAAGGGACCAGAGCTGTGGTGCAGCAGAGAACTGCTCTGCTGGGAAAGGGGATGGTGATTGTGGCTGGCCAGGGATTTGGTTCGGAGGACCTGTTCCTGTCAGGCTCCAGAAAAAGCTGAGAGCCACATGGTGTTCACATTCTAGTATTACATTCTCATCTTAGTTCTGTGGGAGGTCTGCCTGCTTTATTTCTGGACCCTGGTCCTTATCATCTCTCTGCTGTAGGTTCTAGCTCTTTGTAGGACAATTTTAATTCTCCACTGTGCTAACAGCTCATACCTACCAGGAAGGACAAGTAGACACTGACACAAACTGCTACTTAAGTTCTGAAAGATCCACACTCTCCTACCACAACACAGGTCTGGTTCACTGCTGTATCCACAAACCCCACTCAGAGGTTCCTGGATCCACCCTGTGCAGCCAGTCTCAGGGCTGGGGCCTAAAACATCAGCTATATTAAAAAATAATTTCAAAAAATAAATCCAAAACTTTGCCTTGGAGTAGAGAGGGACTGGAGTGAAACTTCAGACTGGTGGTTTCACCCCAGTAGGAGCTAGGAATAGTGAGTGCAGCTACATTTATTAATACTTGTGAGATGCTTTGAGATCTCTAGATAGCAAGTGCTATTTAAAGAATTAAGTGCCATTTCATTTCTGACTGCTTTTCCTCCCACTATGCTCATTTTTCTCCCCAACATCTGGTGAACCTAAAAGGCTTCAACTGAGTGCACAGATGACTACATTATCCTTTTTATTTCAGGAGCAGGGGAAAGGAAAGGTGGGAAGTGTTTGTGAAACAGTCACACCTCCTTCCATTTCCTCAGGCACTGGCAGAGAGGGAAATCACCAAGTGTTCTAAATGTGAGGTAATTATCTCTAAATGATACAAAGTCTAATATCTGCAAAATCTTAAATGGCACACCCAGCTGGCTTCCCCAGGCACATCCTGTGAGTTGCTGTGGCCACAGCATTGTTGGAGCAAAGGAAAGGAAAGCAGCTAAAAAAGAAACTAAAAAAAAAAAAAAAAGGTAAAATCAATGGGAATAAAAAGAACATCCTTTATGTCAATGTTTAGTGACCTATTTTCTGCTGTGTTTATACATCTATCCCAACAGGCCAAAGTACCACTGTGGCACTACAATACTACCTAAATATTCAGAGGAAAAGTTTGCCTCCACTTTTGAAAGGGAATTAATGGTGTGTTCCACAGCAGCCTGGCAGAGGTTCCCAGCTGCTGCCATCCTGCATTCCCCTGGGGCAGCAGCTCCTCTGCTGCCCTGGAAAGCAGCCTGCTCAGTCCTGTCTGACACACCTTGGGTCAGGTTTGCCTGTGGCACCTTACTAGGAGATTCCAATCAGGAGCTGCATTAATGGGTGCTGCATTAATGGGTGCTGCAGACTCCTCTTTAGCCCCTCCTGTGCAGTTAATATTCTGCAACAAGTCCTTTCATGTGATCCCTGCCCTGCTCAGACTCCCAGCAGAACACTCCTGTTGAGAGAGGATTGCACTTGCCTCTCATAATCAATCACCTCTGTTATGCTCAACTGAGGCTCTAATGTGACTATTAATTGGCAAGGATTGAATCTCAGTGTCTTGCACACCCAAACCACTGGCCTCTGTTGCTGGTGCTAAAAATAACTCCTTCAACTGCCTGGTGAGCTGTTAATCCCAGGGGCTATCTGCTCAGGGGAGAATGAGATATGAAGGCTGGAGTCTGGTTAAAGTCAGTCCAGCTAACAAAGTCCTGAGCTTGAAAACCTGCCTCTGTAGACTCTACACACATCAGATCAAATAATGGAGACTGAAAAAAACCAGCAGGTCTGCTTTTTGACACTACACAAACAAGTCATTTGACACAAATTTATCTCCATTCATTAATGTCAAGATTTCCTAAAAGAAAAACAGTTGGGTTTCATATCATAGGTCCCAATAATAAGATGGGGTTGCTATAAATGAAGGTGATTTGACTTAAACTGATGATTTTGGCCAAAGAAGATCAGTGATCCCAGAATCTGGTCTCTGGCCTGGGTTTATGGGTTTTGTTTGTGTTATCATATTTGGGTAGACACAGTAAAAATAACATGAAAAGCATGCCTGGCACTTGCTTGGCCAGCTGAATGGGGAGAGTATGGCTATATTTAAATACAAGCACATGAGCTGCAGGGAGCTAGATACCCTCTGGAAGGGAAAAAAAAAAAGAATAGAAAAGGAAAAAAAAAATAATAAAACAAAGGACAAGTTGGTTCTTTGTAATAAGATGTCACAGTCTCCATGGCCCGTGATTCATCACTGCCAGTCTGAAATTCTCCATGGAGGTTTTAAAGCTGATGTTGAGCTACTTCTTTGCCATTAATTGACTCCTAAATTGAAAGCATTGATTTGCTTAAAAAAAGCTGTGATCTTGAGAGGTTTAACAATATGTACTTTTTGAAGATGACATTATTCTCCTCTCCATGGCAAGGGAGAAGCACTCGGCCTCTGGGAGACAGCAAGTGCAACTTGTGCAGGATTGGGCAGAGGTTTATCCATGTGTTAAATCCCAGCCTTCAGTGTCTGGAAAATAATATCTCTCTCTTCACTTATTCTAAATTGACTGTAAATCCCAAACAAGTGAGGGAACCCTAAAGACAGGTGAACTGAGTAAAATCAGCCTCAATTCTTTACAGAGTTATCCTGAACAGATAACCAGTTGCACTTATGTTTGTGCACAATGGTGTGAAATAAGCATTGCTGAATGGTGCTGAATGGGTTATTCCCTCTGTATTAGGAAATATAAGGAGAGATTAAGAATGTTTATAGCAAAATGCAAACTAAAAAGAGGAAAAGAAATTGATAGAACAAAAAATGAAGCTTCACCCTCAGAGATACTTCTCAGCCAAACAAGAAGTTGTTCAGGCTTTTCTTTCCCTCCTACCCCGTCCTCTTATCATGTCTGCAGTGTCATCATGTATTCAGTGATTTTCTAATCAGGTTAAAAAAACAAAACAAACTCCCCAAGCCCAGACCTGTATTAATCTATAGAAAAAAGTGCCAGAAAATCCAGTCAAAATATTTTGATAAAGTACTAGTTTTTATCAAAAAGCAAACACTGAATTTGAAGCATCGAACTTGCCTTCATGCTTCTGAAATTCCTCTTCTGTGAAATTAATGTCTTTGTGAGACAAGTTTGTCATCAGTTGTTTATTCTCCTCCTGCAGCTGTGCAATCTGGGTGAGAAGGTCCTGTGCTTCCCCTCTCCAGACATCCTCCACCAGTTCTAATTCCTAAGGGGTAGACCAGGACAACACATTTATTGATTTAAACACATTAAAAGTCTGTGACTGGACTATTTACAGATTAAACTAGTAACAGTCCTACTATGATTCTTATAGAAAACAATTAAATGAGACTACTTTGAATTTCTGAGAAGACATCTGCTTCTCTAATGCCAGCATCAAGTAACCAACCACCAAAGTCTCCTTGTGCTCTGAATGTAAAGATGTGAGGAGATAATTCCTGATGCAAACATTTTTTGATGTGCAAGTTACCTAAAGGATGGCTCCTTGTGCCTCATTTTGCTGTGAGGATGATATTAAAGAGGCTTCTGTGTTAGATTAGATAACCAAACGTGAGCAGGAATTGCCTCCTGCAGCCCAGGAAGCAGCAGCCAGGGCTGTTGTATCTGCCCCAGAAACACGGCCCAGTGTTGTTAGACCTGCTCGTTTGGAAGGAGCAGCATCTCTAGCTCAATTTCTGTTATGAAACACAAGAGCACAATGCTGAATGTGTGATACCCTGCAGCAAACCCAGAGCTCCTTATCCACCCAGTAAACACAAAACTGTGCTTTGTCTCATGGAAGTTGTTCTATATGGAATGTCTTGAGTGGCATCTACGTTTGGCCAGTCAGAACAACAACTCGATTTGTCAGGACACTGTGTCAAGAGCAGCTGTCACCAATCCCTGCAAAGGTCAAATTGGGACGAAACATTTAAACTCCTCAAGGAAAACCAGTTGTATTTAGAGCTTTACTTGTTCCAGAAGCCTTTGCCTTCAATCATACTTCTGCAGTGGGGGGCATCCTCTGCTCCATGTTCATGTATGTGCTTCAAACACAAAAAAGCTGCGTGCGAATCACCCGAGCCAGGCTGAGTCACTTGCTGACATGGACGTTCGTGTCCCTTTCCTACCTAACAACAAAACACAGCCAGACAACAGCCCCGCCAAGCACAGCTCCAGGCTAAAATAAGCTCTGCTGAGAGATTAAAGGACAGCTTTCTACTTTGAATGTATGCTCTGATAATGGGAAATCAAGTTCCTATTGCCTGTCGGGTCCAAATGCCATTTTATTCCAGCATTTATTCCTTTATTGCATTGCTGTCATTTCACCATGCCTGGGAGTGCTTAAAGTTTTATAGAAAACACTATATGCAAACAGATTATAAGTAACATAGAGATGTTGTAGGCTGTGCAGACTTAACTGCTACAAAGTAAATAATTAATTAAATTAATTAATCACCTCTATTTTACTTTAAACTATTAATCTTGAGAGAAAAGCAAATCTGTAATGAAACTTTATATTGCCAAATACCTGGACTATTTGCAGTGATGCTGCATATTATAACTCTGTAGCTAAAATAACATGCTGACCTAGTTTTGATAATAAACCAGCACATTCATCAGTTACAAGCATGCTGATGAAAACAAGATAGAACATACACAAAACCCACAAATGATCTAAACATGTATCATTTATATGTGGCTCTCTACAAACTAGACCAATACTTGCCTAGACAGAACTTACTTATTGCTGTTGAAAAGCCCAATGCATTGGAGCAGAAATGAACTTCTGAACCTTCATTAGTAGAAGCACCAGGCAGAGAAGACAGATCTCTGGGCTTGCAGGTGCCCAGCTCAGGAAACCCCAGGCACTGCTAAGCCAGGTTTATAGGCAAGTGCTACAATCTCATAAACTGATGCTTGCCAAGGACCATTAAAACTTGTCTGGTTTGAAGACAGACTGAGAGAGTTGGGGTGTTCAGCCTGGAGAAGAGAAGGCTCCAGGGAGACCTTAGAGCAGCTTCCAGTGCCTGAAGGGGCTCCAGGAAAGCTGGGGAGGGGCTTTTCACCTGAGAGGGCAGTGATAGGACAAGGGGTAATGGTTTTAAACTGAAAGAGGGGAGATTTGGGTTCAGACATCAGAAAGAAGTTCTTCACCATAGGGGTAGGAACGCACTGGAAAAGGCTGCCCAGGGAAGCTGTGGCTGCCCCATCCCTGGCAGTGTTGAAGGGCAGGTTGGATGGGGCTTGTGCAGCCTGGGCTGTGGGAGGTGTCCCTGCCCATGCAGGGGGGTTGGAGCCTGATGATCTTTAAGGTCCCTTCCAACCTTCACCATCCTATGATGGGTTTTTGGAAGCTTTTGGGTCACAGATATCTCTCAGTCTCTGGGTTTTTCTGCCTACCAGTACCTCTCCTGTGGAAGAGTTATTCTTCAGACCCTTGCACTTGAAGAGAGATGGATGTGACACTACTGCTCCACAGGGACTTAGTGCACTGGCAACCAACTCTATTTAAAAATATGTATGTATCATGTGTTTTATTTTCCCTTTCAAAATCTTTCCACCAAAATTTCATCTGGATTGTCTGAACACTCTGTGAGCTACTTTGTGACTATTAGAGAAGCTGGCAGAGATGGTTAACTGGTGGGGGATAAGCTGACATCTGACAAGCACAGTGTTACACAGCTCATGATCTTAGGGAACTTCTTAACACGTAGATGAACTTCAGAAGCCCCTACACTGTGAGCAGCCTGTACGATGGCACTGGGTGTTGCCACCAGCCCAGCTCAGCTTCACCACACAGCATTTTGTTAATATCTGAGATACAGCATGACTGCTGACTGGCAATCCAGAGCTCTCTGCAACCAACGGGGAGATGGGACTTAGGACAGTTCTTCCCAGAGGTGACATCCCCTCAAAAAATCCTTCTGGCAGCCAGGGCTCAGGAGGAGCTAATTGGATTCTAGCAGAGGGCCCAGACACGTACAGGACCACTCAGCTGCCTCAAAGCTGGGTCTGTCAGAAGGCAAAGGCACAGGTTTGGTACATGTACTTTTGTCTGTTCTCTAATCTTTCTCATGTCATGCTCTGGAGACTTACTAGGGCTCTATGTATTAAAGATCTTCTAACAACCTTTCCAGAGACACTGCCCTGAGACATCCTCTGCAAAATGTTGTAGGACTTATCCTGGATCTTTTGTATGCTAAGTGAAAGCCCCTTAGCTCTTTTTAAAACTTGAATTTATTTAAAGCTAACTCTTGAAGTTTGAGGTTTCTCTTTCAGAAAGTTCCTGCCTCCTCTTTGTTCTGAATCTGTGTCCAGGCAGGAATGGCATGAGGCAGCAGTGGTGATTTAGCACAGTGACTCACTAGAAGAACCATTTCTTTCAATCAGTTATCTGGAGGGTTTAAAGAGCAGATCTGCCACTTCCACTGCAGTAAGTGGAACAGCTCATGCTGTCCTGCCACATGAGGGTAATAGGATATGGGAAATGATCTCTACCTTGGGCTTTCACAGGAGAGGGGTCAGGGAACACTGTGACCATCCCAGATCAAACCAAGGCACAACACCTTACCAACAGAGGACGGAGCAGGAATCTGGGAGAGTGCTCTTCCCACTCTTCAGCTCTAACACTGCCCTGAAATCACTTGGTCCTCCATCTCTCCTACGACTTTCCTACCCGATGGGTGCACCAGAGGACTACACTCCTAAGTAATTAACAACTCTGGAGAGAAAGGTATATTATTGCCAAGGACCTTTCCTGGCCTGCTAGGAAGCAGGAGAGGGGATGGAGCAGGAGAGGGGATGGAGCAGGAGAGGGGATGGAGCAGGAGAGGGGATGGAGCAGGAGTCCTAACTGGGGACACACCGCGGGAAGGAAGCGCAGTAACTGGGGAAGGGGTGGAGAAAAGGAAGGAAACTTCCAGGAGGGAAGGAAAAAAAAACCCCAAACAACACACCAATAATAAATCACAACAACACCAACACACCCAAACCCTCCGAGACGCCCCGGCAGCGTCACACCGAGCCCGTGAGCCGGGCCGGGCCGTTCCCACAGCTCAGCCTCCCCTTTTGTTTTCCCCAGAGGCTGCGGGAAAAGGGGTGCGGGGGGCGGAGGGGCCGGGAATCTCCCCCCGTTCGGGAGTCCCCGGGAATGTCTCCCCATCCGGGAGTCCCCGGGAATGTCCCCCCATCCGGGGGCAGCCGGGCCCCGGCCCCTCCGCCTCCCGCGGGGCGGCAAGAGCAGCCCTGCCCCGCATCCCTGTCCCGTCCCGCACCTTCTGGTGCTTCCTCTCCTTCTCGATGCGGTCCATCCTCTCCAGCCGCAGCCGGTCGCGCTC